ATAATTATTTTTCCTAAGTATATTTGTATTGATTTCAGAGAGGAAGGGAGAGGGACAGGAGATAGAAACATCAATGATGAGAGAGAATCATTGATGGGCTGCCTCCTGCATGCCCCCTACTGGGGATCAATAAGAGGCCCAGTCATGTGCTCTAACCTGGACTCAAACCAATCAAACTACAACCTTCAGGTTCATGGATTAATGCTCAACTACTGAGCCACACTGGCTGGGATCATTGTAATTGCTTAAATAGTAGTTTGAATAATTCTTGTTTGACCAAGTTGCATTTGAGGAGATTGCTTTAAAAATATCCCCCAAAATTCTTTTTTAGTTGAATTTTATGGCCATGTAGTTAGAGAATATAATTTAATTTTTTTCTTCTAATGTTTTGAAATGTGTGGATAAGAAGTTAACTGATTTTGTCAATGTTCCATGGGGGCTTAAAAAGGATATGTATTATTTGTTTATTGGTTACAAAGTTCAATACCTATCAGTTAATTAAAACAGTTAATTCAGAAAAAAAAAGAACTAGTGTAGACAATAATGAACAGCAGATAACTACTGTCCTCATTGATATTTACCTTGATTATTATATCAGTAAACTATGGCTGCATGACAAGCCATCTTCAAGCAAATTATTTAATGCTAGAGGCCCGGTGCATGCATTCATGCACTGGTGGGGACACTGTGGGGATTGCGCCATAACCAGCTCTCCGACATCCCCCGAGGGGTCCCGGATTGTGAGAGGGTGCAGGCCAGGCCAAGAGACCCCACCAGTGCATGATTGAGACCGAGGAGAGACCACGGGAGGGCCTCAGGGAGTGTCAGGTCCATCTCACCCAGTCCTGATTGGCTAAACCCCGGCAGCAACCTACCGGTTGGAGCATCTGCGCCCTGGTGGTCAGTGCGCATCATAGCGACTCGTCAAAAGATGAAAGGTCAGACACTTTACATGTTAAACTTTTATTATATAGTACTAAAAGCCCAGTGCACAAAATTCGTGCATGGGGGTGCGGGCCCTCAGCCCAACCTGCACCCTCTCCTATATGGTGCCCCTCAGGGGATATCTGATCCCACAGGGATTGGGCCTAAATGGGCAGTCAAACATCCCACTCTAATCTGGGACCACTGGCTCCTAACCCCTCACCTGCCTGTCTGCATGATTGTCCCTAACCACTCTGCCTGCCTGCCTGCCTGGTCACCTCTAACTGCCCTCCCCTGCCGGCCTGGTTGCCCCTAACTGCCTCTGACTCAGCCCTCACCACCGTGGTTTTGGCCGGAAGGACGTCTGGAAGGATGTCTAGAAGACCTCCAGTCTAATTAGCATATTACCCTTCTATTAGTATAGATAATGCCATTATTACCAAGTGTGATTGTGTGGTGGGGAGCTTTTCTGAACTCTTCCAGTCACTTTATGAGTCTATAGTCAGTTGTGTCTCTACATGTGTTTTTAAGTCTCATTCATAATGTGTGTGGCCACGGTGATCTCCCTTGAACCAGTATATCATCAGTTTACCCTGTTTCTATATATAACTTTTTCTTCTATTTTAAAGTAAAGAAAGTGTACCAAGTGTGAATTGCTTTATTTTACTTCTACTGTTCCTATATCCACAAAACTTAGCTTTTTTCCCAAGTAGAAGAGATATCTCCAGCTACCTGAGCTTTTCTCCTTCTAGATCCTGGCTTTTTTCCTTCTAGGTTTTTTTGAAGTATAATTACATAATGTAAATGGAACATGATTAAAATTCACAAATTGCTGACTAAAGGCATACAAAAATTGCAGTCCTTACCTCATGTTTCCATTTGATGTTTTATGCATCATTCGCCATGGGGATAGTAAACACAACTTCAGATGAATGTTGCAAGCAATAAATGAGGTATATGGCCATATTTCATTGAGCCAAAATAAAATGTTCCAAGGTAACATGTGTATGTATATGTGCGCTTATTCATATACATTTTTATTTCAAAGAAACACACAGTCTTATATGTACACAATCACAGATTCCTTCATAATCACACTAGTGGCCCGGTGCACGAAATTCATGCACGGCGGCGGGGGGAGGGGGGGCTCTCTCAGCCTAACCTGCACCCTCTGCCATCGGGGACCTGTTGGGGGATGTTCGACTGCTGGTTTAGACCCAATCCCACAGGGGAATCAACCAGCAATCGGCCAAACCTTTCCAATCTAGGATCACTGGCTCCTAACCGCTCACCTGCCGGCCTGCCTGATTGTCGCTAACTGCCTCTCCCCTACTGGCCTGATTGCTCCTAACTGCCCTCCCTGCCACCCTGATCTCACCCCCAACTTGCCTCCCCTGCAGGCCTGATCTCATCCCATAGCCCTCCCTGCAGGCCTGATCTTGTCTCCAACTGCCCTCTCCAGCTGGCCTGATCTTGCCCCCAATGGCCCTCCCCTGTCAGCTTGATCTCTTCCCCAACTGCCCTCCCCTGATGTTCTGATTTCCCCTAACCCCTATTGGCCTGATCTCACCCCAAGCTGCCCTCCCTGCTGGCCTGATTGCCCCTAACTGCCTCTGCCTTGGCCCCCACTAGCATTTGTCTGGAAGGAAGTCGGACATCCAGAAGATGGCCAGTCAATCCAGACTAATTAGCATATTAACCTTTTATTAGTATAGATATGCATAGCCAATAGACACAAAGAATCAGGTGGTGAAGACCTGGGGTGGTGGGTAGAGGTGGGGCAGAGGTAAGTAAAGAAGGGAAATTGGGAGACATCTGTAATACTGTCAACAATAAAATGAAGTTTAAAAAAGATATGAAAGAAATGAGAGAAAAGATAATAGCAATAATAATACCAAAGCA